TAAACACTGCAGTGAAGCCTTGATTATTCTGCATTTGTGTCCTGCGTTTTGATTCCACAGTCACGAATTGGCTCTTGGGAAAAAATGAACATGGAAAAAAAAAGGAAAAAAGTCAAAGAAACTAAAGTAAAAGTAGAGTGTTCACAGGGGGAAAAAAATTACATGTCCTGCATGAAAAAGTATTAGAAGCTAGATTAATCTTCCAACAGAATGAATGGAAGGTGGATATAAGAGTAAATGTTAGATTCAATAAGTAGTACAAGCTTGAAAATTAATAGATCAAAAGCCAAAGTAGTTGTGGTAGAAGAGAAAGTGGAATGAAAAATTGCAAGTAAATGATGAAAAGTTGGAGTAAATAAATAAATTTGTGCACCTTAGTAGAATGTTCATAGCAGATGGAAAATGGATGGGAAAAAAGACATGCAGATGTGGGTAAAATGTTAGTGTAGTATGTTGTCTGTTGAGAACAATGAATCTTTAATGAAAGAAGTGAAAATGGTTGTATATCAGAGCATGTTTCTACCTTTTTTGTGTTACAATTATGTATGTCAGGTAAAATATTCAAAAAGGTTGAACCCAGTGGGAATGGGGTACTGTACTTTAATGTGTGAGGTAAAACAAATATAGATAGTGTCTGAATGGGTGATTAGTAAATACAAAAGTAAGTGAGAAATATGAAATCAGTACATTGAGATGGTTTGGCCATATAGAGAGCCACAAAATAATTATATGAAGGAAGTGTGACTGGGTTGAGAGGAAGGAAATGACGGAGAAAGTTATGGTTGGATGGATTTAATAAGATCCTGAAAATGAGAGAAGTGAGAATTCGGAAGAACAAAAGGCAACGTGTGAAGGCAATGTAGGTAGATGTGGTGGAATCAAGGATGATGTTGGTATCAACTAGATTAGATTTCCTTTTCTTCCTCTTTTCTTACTACTTCTTACTTTTTTGCATAACATTGCTTACCTCAAAAGGAAACAAGGAAACCTTCACCTGAGATACTGGAGAATTATAGCATGTCAGAAAAGACAGGTGACTTTATTTGGTACGTTTGCCAAGTATCATGTGAGAACTCATGGGAAGGAAATATTACTTCTTCAAGTCAGAAGCAGTTGAAAATGTAGATTTATAGGATTTATGCTATGTGACACAATTTATCAATGTGGCACAAAACGACTATGGTTTCTTTGGTCTATTAAGAATAGCCTTTTAGAAGACCCTTGTATATAAATATATACAAAGTGTTTAAAGCTTATTTCTTTCTAGACTCAACAAAGCCTATTTGTTAATATCTTCCTGATAAAAGATTCAGCTCCTTTTTAGTGGAAAAACTAAAAATAGATAGGAATTAGAAGAATCTTACAGATTTTCCATGCCACCAGCTTTACAACACTCATTAAGACCAAATCAGAATACTTACAGCATTGTAAACATGGGCATACTTATATTGTTTGCATTTAGAGTATAAAGACAACATCCAATCAAAACTCAACTACATTCCACAATAAGAGGGGAAATTGTTAAAGTTCCTCCTCTTACAATATTTATTTTTGTATACTTGTCTGGTGGTTTGCACATGCATTCATTCTTTGGGATTAAGATTAGGTGTGAGGGTAAGGAAAGACTGCCCCCCGCCCCCACAAAAAAGTAAAGAAATGTATTCAAATTAGAATCAACAGAAATATCCATAGTCACTTCTGCACTGTAGGAACCAGCTATGCTAAGCATGCGTTTTCTGTCCCAAAACAGAATTGCTGCAGATGTGCCAAGTCCTTTAGTGGATATCTAAGGAAAGTCTGAGTATTGTGGACATAGAAATTTTCACGCTAACGCTGGCCCGTTCCACCTGGGGAAGCAATAGCATTCTGCCAATCCATTGACTCCATTAGTGGCAGCTATAAGGAAGAACATTACAGTACAGTGTATTTGTTTCCTACATCCCTAGTAAGATAGCATTGTGAGAGATGGGTCGGAGAAGGTCAGATACTTCGGATGTTAAAAAAAGATACAGTTCTTTTTTTTTTTAGTATTTTCAGACTGCAAGATTGTATTTTCTTTTTTTAGAGCACTGACAGCTAGCCTTTTCACACAACAGAACTTTGTGTAAGCAAAAATTTCCACCCTAAGCAAAAAACCAACAAGCAACTCAAATACTCAAAGACAGCTGAAAGGAACAAATTAAAAAGAGACAAGTAAAAGACACTTTAAAATGTAAGATTTTGGGGGGGTTTGCTTTTATTTCTTTAAAAAACCTACCCGTTTCTTGCACCAGGCACAACCAGGGCCAGACTCAATGCAGTCCTGACATGACTTTACATTGTATTTGGTACATTCGAGAGAAAATGCTTAAGAAGGAAGAGAAAGAAAAAGTTATAATGAGCAACAGACAAAGTAGAAATACACCGGATCCTCCCAGGTATGGAGGACAGCCCACCTTAGCAGCCACCTACAATCTGGAGGTGCATTTTGCCAGCCGCCCCAACTCCTGGTGCTCTACCACTACTGAAGGGATGTTCTTTTCCTCTTGTGGGCCCGGCAGCCTGTATGTGCAGCCTCTGCTTTGGGACTGGGATGAGACTACCTGTCTCAACCACCATCCTGCCTCCCAGCAACCTCCTGAAAGGTCCAAAAAGCTGTTTACACATCACACTTGAAGAGATTGACGTGGAGGAAGTTGACCCTCCACTCCACATTTGCAACAGCTTGGAAATCCAATGCACTGTAGCATAGCTGAATGCTGTTTCAGATAAAATATAATAAATTTTGCTAATTCATAAGAAAAAAAATCTAAAACCAAGTCATGCAATACTTTTATTTTATCAGGACAATCAAAGGCCCATGCAGCTGTATCCAAATTCAAGTTCTGGTCAGCAGGCCGTGCAGTGAAGCAATCTAGCTAACTGTCAAAGCTCTCCTCCTCCCCAGCCAAGACCCACCCCCTGTCAAGAAGAGTGATTGCTGGAGGCTTTCTCCCAGCTGGTGACATCTGGTCAGTGGGGAAGCAACCAATCCTGGCCCTTATCAATTCCTGTACACCATAAACAAGGACAATATAATTTGCTGGAATCGTGGCTGTGACAGGACAGGGTTTCCCAGAGGGAGAAGGAGATTTCTGTTTCTATGTACAATGAAAGCATTTTCTCCATCTTTTCTGTGGCTGGATTTCTAATGCATATAGTTTTCATGGCAGGCAAAGAGGTAGAAGGCATCACAAATTTTATTAGTATTCTTCATTATTTTGCATGCAAGATATTCACTAAGGTTAAAAGTCTGTCCTAGGGCTAAAGATCCTTCACTAGCTTCAGTGTGTTTCTAGTGTTAGAGAGGTCTTTCTCCTTTTCATTTTGAATAAGGGGGTTGGGTAAGGTATTGATAACCGTTTTGACCCCATAGTAACAGTAGTAGCTATTGCACATATGGAAGTAAGTGGGAGACAAGATGCACAAATGGAATAATATTTTCAGATCAGCCAACCTCAAAACTAAAATCACTCTCTCAAAACTCACTGTCTCACCCTGAGGTGCTGTGTATCCATGCAAAAGGGAAATTAAGCAAAGGGTTTTCCCTTCTGATGGGAACATAGCCAACAACAGTGTTGTGTCAGGTGCATCAAGTGAAGGAAATGTTAATTGCCCCATGACATAGCCAGGAAGAGTTTGTTCACTAGATGGTGACCCAGCTATCAGAGTTACATTTATTCAATACTCCTTGAACACTGAGAAGATCTGAGTACACGTAGTCCTCGTTTAGCAACCACTCATTCAGCAACTGTTTGAAGTTGGCCCTGAACGAGCAGTAGTTACCACCAATCCTCTGCAGCACCCCTGCGGTCACATGATCACAATCCAAATGCTTGGCAACCAGCTCACACTTATGACAGTTGCAGTGTCCCACGATCACATGATTACCATTTGTGACCTTCCCTGCCAGCTTCCCACAAGCAAAGTCAGTAGGGAAGATGGCAGGGAAGGTTGCAAATCACTCCTGCCACTTTTTCTCCTGAGGAGCCCCCTACGGAGTACGAGATCCCAGGGATCTCATACTCCTTAGCATGCTCCTGCTGTACTCTGTGCCCAGTCCGCATGCACGCCCCCCCTCCCCCAGCCCACATGCACTCGTACAGCACCCCCCCCCGCCTCACTCTGTTGTACTCACCTGCCCTCCAGCCTGCTTGCGAGCTGTCTGGGACTTGCAATTTCTAGCAGGCTTCCCCGCTGACTTTGCTTGTGGGAAGCCAGCAGGAAGTCACAAGTTGCAGTCACATGAGGTCCTTGCATAGCAACCTGTGATTTTTGCTTAATGACAGCAACGGGGACCGCAGGGATTGCTGTCGCCAAGCATTGAGGTCATGTGACCTTGCACTTTACGACTGCATCACTTAGAGATGGAAATGCTGGTCCCAATTACCATCATTAAGCAAGGACTACCTGTACTTAGGAAAAAGTTTGAGTAGTTTGGGAGATGCATGGCCTGCAATATAGTTGATGCCCATCACTCCTTGAACTTATCAGTTAAGAGATATAGCACCTTGACTGCCTTCGAAAAAAGTCTGGAAAATACTTAAGATGGAACATACAGGTTTCCTCTAGGATAATTCAGCTCTTCTGTTTATAGTTCTCTCCTCTATCTCTCAGCATAAGCTGGGATCCAGATGACTGAATAAAAGGGCCTTTGGATTGGCTGGCTTCTTTTTAGAATGCGATGGGACATATTGGCCCTTTGGCAGAACCTAACGAATTGGGCTTCTTTATTTCAATGGCCTTAAGCATTAAGACAGTATGGCAGAATTACATAGTAATGGCAAGTGCCAGCTTACCTGTGGTCAACAACAGCAGCACGGCTCCAAAAAACAACAGGAAGTACTTACGAAACATCTGCTGTGAAAAGTAAATAGTATGCAATGAAATGTGAGCAACAAGAAAAGTTATGTGGACAAATATCTTTACAAAGGATGCCTAAAATTTAAATAATAAGTGCAAGAAGATATTTTGTGGGGGAAGAACACCTGAGGAGAAATAGAAGGATATGCAATATTTGCTTACAGTTTCGTTGACTACTTTAAAATGGGACTTAAGGTTACTGTCGCATGAAAATTATAGTGGATTATACTAATAAAAATAATTCTTTTTAATTTAAAGAATGTAAAATACATAACAATAAGGAACTGGAGCTGTATGTTACAGAGTTTGATTGATTATAAGCAGGTTGGTGGCTAATAAAACAGTAAACTTAGCGTGCAACTAGTATGAAAAGGCAAATTCCAATACTGTAATAGCTTTATACAGATATACAACTATGTATGGTTGTGATATATCTCGAAAGAATACTATAGAGCTAGAAAAAAAATACAGAAAGAGCAACCAAAATGATCAAAGGTATAGATCAATGCCATTATAAAGACATGCTTGAGATTCTTTCATTTAGGATAGAAAAAGAAATGTAAAGCCAGTTCAGCTATAAAATTAGGCCTCTTCAGAACTGAGCATCATATAAACTGCATAAACAAATATAATTTGCTTCTTTGAAACACAACAGCCACTAATTTAGATGGCTTTAAGCCTTTTTCAGTGACTAGAAGCCAGCATGGGTTTGTTAAAAATAGGTGATGCCAGACAAATCTGATTACGTTTTTGAACAAAGTGATTAGAATAGTAGACCAAGGGAATGCTGTGATTGTAGACATCAGGAAGGCATTTGTTAAAACTGACCATAACCTCCTTCTTGATAAAATGAACAATGTGGGATGGATGATCCCACTACCAGATGGATTTGCAATTGGCTGAACAACCCTATCCAACCCCTGGTCCTTAATGGATCTACGTCTACCTGGGGGATGCAGCGGAGTCCCTCGGGGTTCTGTCCTGGGCCAAGTGCTCTTCAACATTTTTATAAATGACTTAGATAAGGGGATAGGAGGGAGGCTTAGGAAAATTCGTGAAAGACAAACCTGGGGGGGGGACTGCTAACACCCCAGAAGACAGGCTCAAGATTCAAAAGGATCTTGATAGACTTTAATATTCTGTAATATTGTGCACTTAGGCAGGAAAAACTAAATGCACAGGTACAAGACAGGAGGCTTGGCTTGGCAGTAGTACTTATGAGAAGGACCTGAGCATCCTTGTAGACCACAGATTAAGCATAGGCGAGCAGTGTGCTGCCCCTGCCAAAAAAGCCAATGCAATTTATATTTATATTATTAATTTGCAGTTAGACAAGTTGTTGCCTTTTTGTTCAGACTGGATTAAAGGCCACAGAATATGTTCAGTACATGCTTTACTACAAAGGTGAGCAAACCCCACAATTTCTGGGCTGTATATAACCAGTTTTTCTGCTCTCCCACAAGATCACACACTTGAAATTCAGTGGCCAATTGCCAATTTTTGACCACACAATGTTTGTTTTGATAAAGTTCCAAATAGGTGTGTTAAACTCATTTTGAGTAAAGACACCCTCTCCCAAAGAGCCAAAGGTTTTCTCTCCCACTTCTTCTGGTGTCCTTATCGCCATATGCCTTGCAGTCTTTGGAAGCCAAAAAGCAATAAAAAAGAGTGTGACCTTCAACCCCAACATCTTTTCTGCCTTGCTTTAAGGTGAGACTAAGAAAGTTACAAAGGTTCAGACCCTTTGAAAAACCTGTGTGAAAGTTGGATATGCATTTTAAAAATATGAGTCATTATGAGTGATGTACTTGTGTTCTTCCATTCCAGACAGCACATGAACTGTCATTTTCTTTATTGTGCTTTGTGTTTTAAAATTTTTGTAACTATTCACTAGCAACTGGAAAGAAAGCAACAGGGCCCTCGTAGGCCAGGAACCTCATCAAGAGATGGAAGAATTGAAGCTGAATTCTTCTGGATTTCTTTCCTCAGAAGTTAATTTATTCCCAGAAATGCTCCTATCCATATTAGTGGTGTCATTCTGGAGAGTCCAAATTTAAAAAGGAGATAACATGCTCTAGCTGACATCAAGGAAACAATGACATTTGTAAAACATTATGAGGAAACACTGCAAATTTCACATTCATATTGTACCAGTATTACAACAGAACATTTCAGATTACCCTCTGTTGACCAATGATAGCCAAAAAAGGAAAAATGTTTATCGCTTTTGTCTTACTTCCAGTTTAATTTCAAAAGTGGTGAAAGGGCTTGGTTTTAATCATATAGAATGATCTTTTTTCTTTTTTTCCTGCTGTTTTTTAATTTATTAATTTTACAAGTGCAATAAAAGGAACAACAAGGGAAGAACAAGAAGGAAAAAATGTAAACAGAAAGGAAAATTACAAGGTTTATAAAATTAGCTAAAATATTTCAAAATTAGATTACTGTAATAAATCTGCATATAAGAGTATTTATTAGTTATTATGTGTGTGTATGTACATATGTATATTACATACTATATAATAAATAAAGTTTTAAGACATTACTAAAATAAATCAATATTAAAATTGGGTCATTATGCAGCAATTAACAACCATAACCAGTATAGTTCAACTTGCAAACATTTCTGCCTAATCTAAGAAATATGGCAAATTTATCAGATCATAAAAATATTGGATATTATAATCTTACATTAGGAGAAACCCAAATTTTAGATATGATACACACCCATTTATAAGATTACAATCCAAAAATAATTTCCATATCGAATTAAATTCTATATCAGATTTATTTTTCAAATAAGAAGTTAGTTTGCCATCAAGCCATACTCCCATAAGTTCAATTGCCACAGAAGAAATTGTTCATAATTTCCATTGAGAAGTGCAGAGAATCCTAGCAACTGTTGCCATGTATAAAACCAATTTAATATACTTTGTGGGAATATAAGGCTTAGTAATATTTAGTAAAAAATAGTGGCCTAAAAATAAAAATCCACCTTTAAGATTTGTTTCATTCTATTATACATCATTTTGTCAGCAGTTGGGCTTTTACAGCATTGCCATCAAATATGGAAAAAAAAAAAAAAAGATCCAACCTGGCTTCCAACAATTTTTAGAGAATGAATTGTCTATTTTGGTAATCATTACTGGAGTAATATACAATCAATAGAACATCTTATTTCATTTTTCCTAAGCATAATATTGATTGTAAATTTTTCTACCATTGATATTCCCACTGTTGCATGTTGATTGTTCTGTGGCCTGATATAAATAGACAAATACAATCTATACAGGATCATTTAAAAATAAATAGTGTCCTAAAAGTATGGGATAAACACGGAAAATGAATCAGCCCAGATTTATTGCCTCTTATTTCAATACTAAATATTCGTGCCCATGAAGAAGAATGTACAAAGAAATTCGGTCAGTGGAGGGATAACAATTCATATAGATTGCAAGACTTAATTATCAATAAGACAAATGTAAAATCCTTCAATATCCTCTCTTCAGAATGGCCAGGACCACCTCACTGGCTTCAGTATCTACAAATAAGCAGCATACTGTAGTTGAAAAAGAATTACAAAAAACAAAATGGAATACTTAGAGATTTGACTTATACAAAATTCAGATCATTTATTGGGACTTATTTATAAGTTGTTGGTGAAGTACAAAACTGAACTAGTCAAAGGGTATATGATTACAAGTTTGAACGGTTGCTGAATGAGTGGTCGTTAAGCAAGGACCATCTGTAAATGGATGCAGAATTTTAACAGAACCATCCCCATTCAGTGGAAGAATGTGACAATCTTCTAACAAGAGGAAAGTGAGTATTCCAGACTGCAGACACAGAGATGGTTGGATACTTCCTTAAATGGAGGAAAGCTCCACTGAACTGAACTGAATGAACTTCTCGGCAGTATGTGAGATTCTGATCTTATCATGAATCAATGTATGGTGGGAGTAATATTTGCCATCAGAGCGCATGACTATATTCAGGAGCAGAACAGGGAGACACAGAGCAGTACAAGGCAACATCTCTTGCAACAAAGCAAGTTATATAGTCAAACAGTGTCTACACTATTAGTATAATTTGAGTAATAGAAGTGGCGCACACCCACATAATTCTGTAGCAGTATAAATTACACATTAGGCAGTGACTGAGCTCAGTAGGGGTGAGATTGAGTTCTAAGTGAGGAAACCTTTGGGTCAGATTTTATTTCTGCCATGAACTCTTAAGGCTTGCTCAGTAAATTTGTTTCCTGATCTCTCATTCTTGCATACCTCCAGCTTCCTCTATTATGTGATGAGCGGGGCAGGTTAATACTGACCTAGTTTATAATGTTATTGTAAGAACTGCAATTCTTAGGTCAATCTTTGCAAAGAAAGAGGTCATTAAAAAAGGAAGAAGAAAATGTTTGAAGATTTCTCAAGCTGATTCTTGCTTCACATCACAGATGTTGACTTCTGCCCAGAATTACAGCCAAACTGGACTCAGTGATTATTGTCTCAGAATGTCAGCCCCACCAGGCAGGCCAGACTAGGAAATCAACTTCACAGAAAGGCTAAAACTACTTTTATTGAGATTGGCTACAAAATGATGGACAATGTAGTCTAAATACAACTGGAAGGGAGCAGGTTGGAGAAGGTGTGTTTATCTCTTTATGAATGAGCCTACACTAGCATTGCACCTCTAATCTGTAAAATGATTGTGAGGAAATCAGAAAATAAAATAATTATCTTCTTTGTCTAACCTAAACATGTTTGTCCAAGAACTATATTTTAACTATGATTTGCTGAAACAAACCAAGATTAAAGAGCAGTTTCATCTTGACTTGTTTCAAAAACAATGTTGATTAAACTAGCAACAGTTTTGCCAGATTCCAACATATTAACCAATTGGAGTTACAACTTTAAATATGAGATTGCACTGGTGGAGAAGGGAAGGGAATGCATGTGATCCCAAGACTTGCTCAGGTTCAGTCCTTTATGGCTAAACTATGATTTGTTTTGACATTCAAACTGAGTTATTGGCATCAAAGTGGTCTTCAAAAACAGAATAAGGAGGAGGAGAGGGCCAGGAAAGATATAGGTGAAACTTCTTTTGACAGCACTGTCAGAGTCAGTCAGACGCCGGCACTGTTCCACCTACTTGTCCTATTCATTTTGTCTGCAGTTTGTACTGTTGAAAGAGTGCTGAGAAAAAGGGAACTCTGGTTGCTCCCTCCCACTATAAAGAGGAAAGGGTGGCAGGGGTCTCTGAGCTATTTGGATCACTATTTAAGCATAAGCATTTGACCCAGTGCAAAAATTCTAGTGACAAAGGCATCTGCATTTTATGTCAAAATTACACCTCATTCTCTTCTAAGTATGAAATATAATAAAACTGCAGGAGCCTAAATAGCTGATATAGGCACAGATAGCATCTGAAGAAGGTCATGCTTTTTTCTTTCATTTTTAATATATGGAAAACTAATTACAAGCTTTTTCTGATGCAATTTGATTGATAGCTTTAAAACCTTCAAAGTAGCCTTTTTATTTATACTTTGGTGTAGTGGTGAAGGCACCAGGCTAAAAACTGGGAGACTGAGTCCTAGTCCTGCCTTAGGCACAAAGCCAGCTGGGTGACCTTGGGCCAGTCCCTCTCTCTCAACCCTGGGAAGCAGGCAATGGCAAACCACTTCCGAAAATCTTGCCAAGAAAACTGCAGGACTAATCCGGGCAGTTGCCAGGAGTCAACACTAATTCAAAGGCATGAAAAAGGAAAAGGAAAAGGAAAAGGAAAAGGAAAAGGAAAAGGAAAAGGAAAAGGAAAAGGAAAAGGAAAAGAAAATGAAAAAGAAAAAGAAAAAGAAGATGCACTGAACTCAGGGACTTTTCTTGTTTTTAAGCTCCCAGTTAATACCCTTAAATTCATGCTGCATATTCTGACACATTGAATTTTTACAGAAAAGGGAAATTATTTGACAAAATAGATTTTGACTATGGTGAAATACTGTAGAAAAAACAGCTGTATATTAAAGAAGGAACCGCTCTCCTTTCCCCTCCCCTTCTGAAGTGATGAACCAAGTCATCAGAGCATGGCAACCCAGAAACTAAAAGCCAGAGAACATTTCAACAGCATTAGAGGAGGAAGGGAAGCAAAACTTTTAGTCAGTGGTTACATATCCTGTGAACACAAAGCAGAGGATAAAAAGTTATTTATAAAAATGGACAAAAGGTCTTTACACTGGTTAAAAAAAGTCCCAGAGACTATATGCTACATGTTAATTCAGAAAAGTTATGGTGTTTGGAATATTTTACTGTTGCTTTAAAGAAGTTTGGGGAAACTCACAAAACTTTGGTCACTCATTAGCCATTTTTTTAAAGGAGCCATTTTTTTTGCAGGGTTCAAATAATAACATACACAAAGAGAAGAGAGCATTATCATTAGCTAGAGAACAGACTACGGTTTCATTCAAGGATTTTAACTGCCATTTTATATTAAAGAGGTAGGATATCTAGTATTTTAACAATAACTTTAATTGAATTGGCAACAGTAGTATGAAGTTACTTAGAGTGTTGCATATGACACATAACTTCTATATTTATAAAGGATTACTGTGATAATTGCATTTAATAACAGGGGCCGTGTGTTTATGGTTTTCCTTGATAAAGGAACAATTTGAACCTCTGTTGGTTTTAGTGAGGGAATCTATCTTGTGTATTTAACTTCTGGGTTTTATGATGATCCATTTTTATTTTATTTCATTGCTGAACGTCACCCAGAGTCCAAGTTCCACCCAGAACGTCAGGACTGAAGCGGCTTATAAACATTTTTCTGCAAAACTCCCATTTTCTATTATGCGTGATCTAAAATATAAAACTTGAGTAGTTTAAAACTGAAGCTAAATAATTATTTAAGTGTTCTGCCCAAGAAATCCTGCATTTGTAATTGCCTTCATGAAGAACATCAGGAGAATCATGTTGGGTTAGACAAACATCTTTATCATTGGTTAGCAAACTTAAAATTATAGTTTGGTGGTCACTATCTGAACTCAAGCCAATATTAAATGATCTAACCAAGAGAAATAAATTGGTAGGTATTAGACAATATTCTAGCAAACTTGCTCCCCACCCAGAAATAAATGTGAATTCACCAGGATGATCATGGGCTGTTGTACCATTTAGGATTATTAAATTTAACTTATTACAAAGACTAGCTAAACAAGAGCCTGCATAGGTGATGTTCTTATCTGGAAACTGTATGGTACACAATTCACTTGCCCAAGTTATGACAGGTAAGTTAGGGAATTTGGTTACTAGAGCTTCCATATATATATTGTTCCAATTCTATCCAAATATATTTGATTTGAGATCTTGTTTTAACTGGAAGATAAATATTTATTATTAAATTAAATTAGAGCCAGTTTGGTCTAGTGATTAAGGCACCAGGCCAGGAGACAGTGAGTTCTAGTCCCGCCTTAGGTATGAAAGCCGGCTGGGTGACTTTCCCTCTCTCTCAGTCCAACTCACCTCACAGGTTTGTTGTTGTGGGGAAAATAGGAGGAGGAAGGCGTATTAGGTATGTTCGCTGCCTTGAGTTATTTATAAAAATAATAAAGGTGGGATTAAAAATCTTTTTTAAAAAATGGTTTAGTTGTAATCAGCAGGGAAGCTACATTTGGATACAACTATAGGTGCTGATCCTCATACATAATAAAGCAAGGGAGATTAAAGAGGCTGAACAGGAAAAACTGTGAAATCAGAGATTCAGATGTTATGGACAATCTTACTTCTGTCAGCGATTCTCTATTTTTAACAATCATATAAAGGGAGACATTCAGCTTTCGTATTTGAGAAATTCTGCTTCCCAACAGAGTTGCCAACTTTTAAGTGGCCCTCCTATGCCTTTAGCATCTGAGTGACCATCCAATATTTTGTGGATGCAACACTTCATCTCTCTTTTTAATCACTAAATTTATATACAGTATATCAAATTAAAGCTTCAGATCAGAACAATGAAATACTGGCAGCACTTTTTGTCATATCGTTGTTACAGACTGTAGTTGGCACCAAGAAAATGTTAGCTACTTTAAACAAATGAAGAAAGAGAGAATGAATTTTATTTTTTTATTAAATTTGTATACTGTTGACTCCCAACTACTGTACTTTAATTCGCATTAAGACAGCATCCATTCCTTGCAAAATTACCTGAAGGTAGGCCACTATGCCCAAAACAAGTCAATCTCACATCTACCTGGAAGCATACACGTTTTCAACATAAACCTTATTGTTATTGATCCATTCTGCTGCAGTTCCCAAACAACAAGTTCTCTAAAGTACCGTAATTCTTATAATTAAAGTTTTGGATTACAAGGCTGTATGAATACTTGCACACCAAATTTAATTAGAAACAATGGGATGTAGCTTTCTGCTGAGAAGTATAAAAACCAAGCCACCCTACAAACTCACACAGGCCTTTGCATCTAATACCGCATACTCATAAATAGTTAAATCCTCCACAGTGATAGATGAAAAAGTTGAACACCATTTCTGAACAATCCTCCAGCAAAGATCTGTGTTTGGAAACATCACTGTACTCACTGCTATATTCCCTCGCTCCCTTGCATGTAGAATGCTGGGTGGAACAACCGACTGACTTTCTTATTTTAAGGATGTAAGTCTCTGCTTAATAATTCCAGAAAGCCCTATGTTTTCATCATGATGCACCCACTGCTAACAGCTTCAGATAAACTGTATCTATCTGTACCCAATTATATAGCTGAAACAATTTTTTATTTCTTACAATTTTAGGATATTTAAAGTGTTCTATGTGATATTCAAGTAGCTGACTGAACTCAATGCAGTGAGTAAACATGCACTCTATACCCCCCATATGTCAGGATTTAAAACTGAGAAGTTGATTTGGAATCAAGAAATGGTAGTTAAGAAAGCAGTCAGTTTTAAGATACAGGTTGCTTTTTCTTAGACAAACAGAAAACAAGCGAAGCAAACAAAACAGAGTGCCGAGGCTTAACAGATATGTTACCTTGATGGTGAAAAGCATCTGCGGCTGCTGGTAATAGAGCAATTAAAGCTTGGCCATATTAAAACCACAGGGAAAATAAAAATAGGAGAATAGCTGACTATTCACAGGATATAAATAACTAAAAAGCAATGTCAACTCATAGATTTTTCTAAAGAAAAAGGAAATAAATTATAATTACACCATGCAGAGAGTAATGATCTTCAAAGGAGAGAAATATCCAGAAAAAAATGTAAAAAAAAATGTAAAACATACATCAAGCAGTCTCTGTGGCTTCATCTCAGCTTTCTTTGTTAGTTGTGAAAATGTGGAGCTCCTATTCTTTTGAGGAGTCACTTCTGTATTAATAAAACAGACAAACAAGCCCACAACCTACTCTTCAGAAAACTGCTAAAAGTCACACCCCTTCCTTTAGTGAACTGATCTTATGTTTCTGTAGAGAGGAAGTGAAAACAGACGGAGAACAACTGGCGGAGAAGCAGTTAATTCAAACCTGCACAGAATTGTATGGCACCTTTTATTTCCCAAGTCTCAATAAAGCCAAA